GGGGGGGAGAAGGAAGGAGTGAGAGGAAGAGAGGGAGGAATGGAGAGGGCAAGAGAAAGGGAGAGGAAGAGAGGGAGGGAGAGAGACCGAGAGGGAGGGAGAGACAGGGGAGAGGGAGAGAGAGGGAGGGAGGAAGAGGAAGAGGGAGAGAGGGACGGAGAGGAAGAGACAGAGGGAGAGAGACCGAGAGGGAGGGAGGGAGAGGAAGAGCGGGAGAGAGAGAGAGACGCAGAGGGAGGGTGAGAGAGAGAGAATGGTCGTTAAAATGGGGCACGCTGGCTGAGTCATCAAAGGGTCCAGTTTGAAGACCCCTGCCCTAGAACATAGTATCATAGAGTAGGAAGAGACCATAGAGGTCTTCTAGTCCAACCCCCTGCTCAAGCAGGAGACCCTATACCATTTCGGACAAATGGCTGTCCAGTCTCTTCTTTAAAAACTCCAGTGTTGGAGCATTCACAACTTCTGGTGGCAGGTAGTTCCACTGGTTAATTGTTCTCCCTGTCAGGAAATTTCTCCTTTGTTCTAAGTTGGGTCTCTTCTTATGCCATCCTGGTCCAATGATGGTCCAGCCTATCGTTGAAAACATTCCCTGATGGAGCACCCACAACTCCAGAAGGCAAGCTGTTCCACCGATTGTTTCTTCTGTCAGGAAATTTCTCGTTACTTCTAGGTTGGTTCTCTTCCAACCGTTACTCCTTGTCCTGCCTTCAGCTGTTTTGGAGAATTATTTCTAAGAATAGCAAGAGAATAGGAACTTCTGAGGAGAATCTCATCCCTGTCTTAATACCAAGATACTGCCACAGATCTTTCCAAATTAGCAAAAGGTTAAAATTGTCCCCGAAACATTTGACTTGGTTTTTTTTAAAAATCTGATTTAAGACGGGTCTCACCGGAAAACTTGGCTAGTGGTTTTGTCCATTGTGAAACCATTGTGAGTTGTTGGGTAAGATGCTTGGGGCTGACTTTTTTTTTTTCCCCCAAGTCACGGGTTTTTGATTTCCTAAGAGGCCGTTGCTGTTTCTGATAAGTCTGAGGACAGATTAAAATGTTAATGTCCCCTAGAGGACAGATTTTATGAAGGAACAAGTTTTAAAAATGGAAATGCTTAACAGAGCGTTAGTTCACAATTGTCAAAGTGGGATTTTGTATTTATTGTTTTATTTTTTTGGGGGGTGGTGGTTGCTATGGGAGAAAGAATATTATATGGGAGAGTTTAAAAGCTAACGGTCAGTCCTGCTTTTAATTGGCAGATAGATCTGCCTTGTGATCATGGCTAGTGGTTCTATGACATGGCTTAAACCTTAAATGCAGGTCAAGTTGCAGAGAAGTTAAATCAACTTTGAAGTACTTTTCTTCCACATTTATCTCGTTTTGTTCTACCCAGTTTGGTCTAATGGTTCAGATGCCAGGCTAGGAAATGGGATCTAGTCCCACTTTAGCTATGAAAGCTTCGGATCTGTCTGTCTGTCTGTCTGTCTGTCTGTCTGTCTGTCTGTCTGTCTGTCTGTCTGTCTCTCTCTCTCTCTCTCTCTCTCTCTCTCTCTCTCCCTCTCCCTCCCTCCCTCCCTCCCTCCCTCTCTCTGTGGATGGATGGATGGATGGGTGGGGAGAGAGAGAGAGATAAATAGAGACAAATGAGAGAGATAGAGATAAATAGAGATAGAGATCAATAGAGAGATGATAGATAAATAGAGATGATAGAGAGAATTGACAGATCACAAAGAGATGAGAGAGAGAGAGAGACAGAAATGGAGATGATAGAGATAGAGACATAAGAGAGATAAATAGAGATAGAGCAATAGAGAGATGATAGATAAATAGAGATGATAAAGAGAGTTAGATCACAAAGAGATGAGAGAGAGATAGAGAGATAGACAGAGAAATGGAGATGATAGATGATAGAGATAGAGACATAAGAGATAGAGATAGATAAATAGAGAGATGATAGAGATAAATAGATGATAGATAAATAGAGATGACAGATCACAGAGAGATGTGAGAGAGACAGAAAGATGAGAGAGAGAGAGAAATGAGAGAGATAAATAGAGAGATTAAATAGATGAGAGATAAATAGAGATAGAGATAAATAGCAAGATGATAGAGATAAATAGATGATAGATAAATAGAGATGACAGATCTCAGAGATGAGCGAGAGAGAGAGATGAGAGAAAGATGAGAGATGAGAGAGATAAATAGAGAGATTAAATAGATGAGAGACAGATAAATAGAGATAGAGAGAGGTGATAGAGAAATAGAGAGAGAGACATGATAGAGAGAAATAGAGAGATGAGAGAGAGATCACAGAGAGATGAGAGAGAGAAAAAATAGATAGTAGATAGAGATGACACAGAGAGAGAAGGGGGGATATCTAACAGGATATTTATCCTAATTTTGATCACATGACCCTGGGGACGCCGCAACGGTAGGTGCAAGTGTGAGAACCGGTCACAAGTCCCCTTTTTCCGCTGCCGTTGTAACTTCAAGTGGTTGAAAGTGGAAGGACCACCAGTACGTATTTTGCCACACCGATCCCGTCCGCCAGATCTAAGCCTTGTGATTTTTCTCGTTGCAAACAGAATGGGTGAATGATGCGGGATGATTTTACCGACTCTCTCGGCTCTTTCTCATGGGCTTCGTCTTTATCGCTTCCTTGACGTCTTTCTTTAATGCAGGATTCCACACTCTGCACCTGGAGGTGGGGATGAGGTGCTTCCCTTTGCACACCGTCCTGCAGTACATCGACCACGGAGTTCTGCACCTAACAGAAAAGTACGTCCTGAATCTTTGGAAAGGTAATGTTCCTTCTTGCGGACTGGAGCGGCGGTCTCCAACCTTGGCCGCTTTTAAGACCCGTGTCTACGGAGATCCTCAGTCATCCCGGTCGTGGTTATCCCAAAGGTGCTTTTTTCAGGAGGCAACTGGACTTCTGAAGCGGAAGAAGCTTCTGGGACGAGAAGCGAAACGTCTTCCGAGAAAAAACAAGGAAGTCCAGTTGCCTCCTGAAAAAACATCTTTGGCCACTTTAAGACCTGTGGACTTCAACTCCCAGAATTCCCCAGCCAACCACACTCTGCTGCTGAAAGAGGTCTGTGCTGAAATCCAAGCAGGATTGTCAGCCCCAGAGAGGATTTCAGCATAGACCAGGGGTAGGCAACCTTGGCTTTTTATGACTCATGGACTTCAACTCCCAGAATTCCTGAGCCAGGAATTCTGGGAGTTGAAGTCCACGCGTCATAAAAGAGCCAAGGTTGCCTACCCCTGGCATAGACCTATTTTCAGCTTCAGAGTAGAGAAACTTCAAACCTCTCCGCTGTGGAGCTGAAAATCCTTTTTCAACCAGAAACTGGAGGGAATCCTCTCAGCAGGCAGCAATGGCTTGTGGCGTTCCCTACCAGCTTCCCCATCGACTTTCTGGGGAAGACGGCAGGAAAAACTGGTGGTCACACAATCGTGGGGCACTTGGCAACCAGTTGTAAGTATGAACTGGCTGTCAAGTGCCCAGACCACAATCCCATGACCACGGGGGCGGGAGGGCGTACGATGGCCATAACTTGAGTCATTTAGCTGTTGTAATTTGAATGGTTACTGAATGAATGGCTGTAAGTCAGGGTCTACTCGTACAGATTGTAGTCTGCGTCATGACGGCGCAGTGGTTAAAATGAAGTATTGCAGGCTAACTCTGTCTACTCTACCTGCTACCAGGAGTTTGATCCTGACCGGGTCAAGGTTCACTCAGCCTTCCATCCTTCCGAGGTCAGTAAAATGAGGACCCAGATTGTTGGGGGCGATACACTGACTCTGGGGCAAAGCTGACTTAACAAATGTCTCATTTAGCAACCTACAATTATGGTCATAAGTCAAGGACCACCTGAATTTCTGATCCTTTTCACATCAGCCACATGGCCCGTTTGATACTCTTTCGATCCTTATTTCTAAACCTTTGGATACTTGCAATCTCGCTGCAGTCTCAAAAGCTTCAGAGGAAAGGATCAAAAAAGAAGGATCAAAAAGTGTGAAACATGCAACGTTGCAAGTATCAAAAGGAACAGAAACACACACACAAAAAAATAGGATTTCTTCATACTCGCATCTGCCTCGCTTATTCATTGATGCTTGCAACACCCAAGAAGCCTGTGACTCATGGCAAATTCCCAGAACATCCATCCATGCAAAATCACAGGCTGCATTATTGGAGGTTCCCTATTCCTACTGCTTTTTTTCTGTCTAAAAATGACTGCTAAATAAAAGAGGTCTAAATGCTTTAGTTTGGGGGTGTCTAAACTTGGCAACTTTTAAAACTTGTGGACTTCATCTCCCCAGAATGGAGACATTTCTTAAGGAATGATAAGATTCTTAAGAGGCACATTTTACCTTCAGGCTTAGCCTGCATGTAGTAGTAGCCACTATACATATGAGTAATAGCAACAGCACTTAGACTTACATACGGCTTCACAGTGCTTTACGGCCCTCTCTAAGCGGTTTACAGAGTCGGCCTGTTGCCCCCCAACAATCTGGATCCTCCTTTGACCGATCTCGGAAGGACGGAAGGACGGAAGGCCGAGTCAACCTTGAGCCGGTCAGGATCGAACTGCCAAACTGCTGGCAGTCGGCAGTCAACAGAAATAGCCTGCAGTACCGCATTCTGACCACTGTGCCACCGCGGCTCTTATATACAGTAGATTGTATAGATTGACAGGGAGGGGCGCACTCCTTGCTGGCACTGGTGGTGTTGTGGGTGCTCCATCACTGGAGGTTTTTAAAGAAGAGATTGGGCAGCCAGTTGTTCGGAATGGTGTAGGGTCTCCTGCTTGAGCAGGGGGTTGGACTAGAAGACCTCCAAGGTCCCAACTCTGTTATTCTGTGTTCTATCCCCCTGGTCATGGGATCAACATTGAGGTGCTGGGCAATTGGCTTATATTTACAAGGGTTGTAGCATCCTGGGGTCACATCTACAATCTTCCCAGCCAAGCAAAGCCAATAATAATAATAATAATAATAATAATAATAATAATAATAATAATAATAATAATAATAATAATAATAATAATAATAATAATAATAATAATAATAATAATAATAATAATAATAATAATAATAATAATAATAATAATAATAATAATATAGACAAGAAAGAACTGGAGAAGATAACAAAATACAAAGACCTACAAACAGAAATAGAAAGACTGTGGCAAAAGCAAGCAAGGGTAGTACCAATAGTAATAGGCGCCTTGGGTGCAATCCCAAAACAACTGGAGCACCACTTGAACACCATCGGCATTGACAAATTCGCCATTAGTCAATTGCAAAAGGCGGCCTTACTAGGAACTGCTTCCATCCTGCGACGAGATCTGTAATACCATCAAACATCCACATCTGCCTATCCCAGGTCCTTGGGAAGGACTCGATAGGTAGACAAAAGTGCCAAATCCAGTCTGAACATCTGGCTGACTGTGAATAATAATAATAATAATAATAATAATAATAATAATAATAATAATAATAATAATAATAATAATAATAATAATAATAATAATAATAAAGTTGGAAGGGAGCTTGGAGGTCTTCTAGTCCAACCCCCTTCTCAGGCAGGAAACCTTACACCATTTCAGACAAATGGCTGTCCAGTCTCTTCTTAAAAACTTCCAGTGTTGGAGCATTCACTGCTTCTGGAGGCAAGGAGTTCCACTGGTTAATTGTTCCCACTGTCAGGAAAGTCCTCCTTATATTCTAGGTTGCTTCTCTCCTTGGTTAGTTTCCATCCTTTGCTTCTTGTCCGGCCTTCAGGGGCTTTGGAGAATAGCTTGACTCCCTCTTCTTTGGGGCAGTCCCTGAGATACTGGAACACCGCTATCATGTCCTCCCTCGTCCTTCTCTTCAAGTACCGTGTGATTCACTTAACAACCGCTTTGCTTAACCAAGGCCCAATTGTGGGCCCAATTGTGGACGTAAGCCAAGGACGGCCTGTAATATGTGTCATTCTCTTGCGTAAGGGGACTAAAAACATGCTAACCACGTTCCACATTCCAGCGGAGTAGAGCTGTGTTTGCAAAGCTAATCTCCATTGGCGTCAACCGGACTGAAGCCAGGCCAAGGTCTTGTTTAGCCCGTAACCTTTTTCTCAAACCTGTGTGTTTGTTTTTAAGAGTTAGACGACACTGAAAAGAACGTGAAGCTCAAGCTGAGTATCTTTACAAGGCTTCCCCAGGTAACTATTAACTAACTGCCGTATTCCGACAACTAGTCTTGGATCTGTTTGCAGTAAATGCAGGGGTGGGATTCAAATAGCTAAACAACCGGTTCTCTTATTGGATGCAGGCCTGGGCCTCCGAGGCCTAGAACGGACCTCCAGCTTTGCTGGATGGGCTGCTTATGTAATTATACAGAATAAATACAAGGATTTCTTATCGTTTGTTGCTCCCCTCATGTAGAGGAGTCCGTCTCTATTCAGCTGAATAAACACGTAAAACTTACAAGGCAATTTCTGGTTTCCGGTATTTCTTTAACCAGCAAAACCTCAGAACCTGCATATCATGGTCTAAAAGGACTTTAAATCTGATTCATTCTCTCCCTCTCCCTCCCTCTCTCTCTCTCTCTCTCCCTCCCTCCCTCCCTCTGTCCCTCTCCTTATCCATCCATCCATCTATCTATCTATCTATCTATCTATCTATCTATCTATCTATCTATCTATCTATCTATCTATCTATCTATCTATCTATCTATCTATCTATCTATCATCTATTCTTCAATCTATCTATCTATCTATCATCCATCCATATCTATCTATCTATCTATCTATCTATCTATCTATCTATCTATCTATCTATCTATCTATCTATCTATCTATCTATCTATCTATCTCTTTCTATCTATCTATCTATCTATCTATCTATCTATCTATCTATCTATCTATCTATCTATCTATCTATCTATCTATCTATCTACCTACCTACCTACCTACCTACCTACCTACCTACCTACCTACCTACCTATCTATCTATCTATCTCTATCTATCATCTATCTATCTATCTTTATCTTTTTCTCTCTCAAATTTCTTCTGGCAAGCTTCCTTGTCTATTTCAAGAAACAAGAACAACTTGAACTTTCTCGACAGAAAGGCCTTCTTTATTTGGCTGTATTGAAAAACGGCAACGACAACAACATCCACAAAATCCTGCTGTTCTGTCTTATCGCTGTCCTTTCTGTTTCGGAGAAGGCAGAAAGTCAACCAAATGACATTTTTCTTCCAGAACAGCTGTTTTGATGCTGTTTGGAAATTATGTTTAAGCCATGGGGATCGGGTTTCTTCCCCTTGGGACCCTGAGCCAGAATTAATATTATTTTGCCATCCGTCTTCGTGGCTGATTCAGTTCTCCGAGCTGCAGTTCATATGTGATATTTAAAACGTTTCCTCTGCCCGTTTCTTATTTTGACCCTGCAGGCAATCGGTTGCAAGGTGTGTCAGCTGTGGACCCATTCTTTAAGCACAGGTGCTATTGCGAGGAACTACGTGAAACTCTTGTTTGAGAAACTGGGCAGGGAACAGGTAAAAGCTTGATCCCCTGTTAAGAATGTGGGCTAGTTTGTCCCTGATCCTTTTCATTAAAAATAAAATAAAAAATCTGGGTCTGAATAAGATACAGATATTGAAGTTAGATTCCCAGGAGCAAGGCTTGAGGTGTTCACACCTTCCCCTTCTTAGCTTTTTTGGGAGTTGAAATAATAATAATAATAATAATAATAATAATAATAATAATAATAATAATAATAATAATAATAATAATAATAATAATAATAATAAAGTTGGAAGGGACCTTGGAGGTCATCTAGTCCAACCCCCCGCTCAGGCAGGAAACCCTATATCATTTCAGACAAATGGCTGTCCAGTCTCCAGTAGCTTTAAGATGCTTAGAGTAACAGAGTTGGAAGGGACCTTGGAGGCCATCTAGTCCAACCCCCTGCTCAGGCAGGAAACCCCATACCAGGGGTCTTCAAACTTGGCCCTTTTATGACTAGTGGACTTCAATTCCAGACGCTGGCTAAGGAATTCTGGAAGGGGTCTTCAAACATGGCCCTTTTATGACTTGTGGACTTCAACTCCCAGAATTCCTCAGCCAGCGTGCCTGGCTGAGGAATTCTGGGAGTTGAAGTCCACCAGTCATAAAAGGGCCAAGTTTGAAGACCCCTGCCTTATACCACATATATATAGGAGAAACTTCCTAACAGTGAGAACAATTAACCACTGGAACAGCTTGCCTTCAGAAGTTGTGGGCGCTTCATCACTGGAGGCTTTTAAGAAGAGACTGGACAGCCATTTGTCTGAACTGGTGTAGGGCCTCCTGCTGAGCAGGGGGTTGGACTAGAAGACCTCCAAGGTCCCTTCCAGCTTTCTTGTTCTGATTTCATACAAATGGCTCTCTTCTTAAAAACCATCAGTGTTGGAGCATTCACAACTTCTGGAGGCAAGTTGTTCCACTGGTTAATTGTTCTCACTAGTGGGAAATTCCTCCTTAGTTCTAGGTTGGTCCTCTCCTTGATTATTTTCCATCCATGTACTGCCTTCAGGTGCTTTGGAAAATAAGTTGACCCTTTCTTCTTTGTAATAGCCCCTCAAATATTGGAACACTGCTATCATGTCACCACTGGTCCTTCTTTTCATTAAAAGAAATAGAATAGAATAGAATAGAATAGAATAGAATAGAATAGAATAGAATAGAATAGAATAGAATAATAAAATACAGAATAGAGTAGAATAGAATAGAATAGAATAGAATAGAATAGAATAGAATAGAATAATAAAATACAGAATAGAATAGAATAGAATAGAATAGAATAGAATAGAATAGAATAGAATAGAATAGAATAGAATAATAAAATACAGAATAGAGTAGAGTAGAGTAGAGTAGAGTAGAATAGAATAGAATAGAATAGAATAGAATAGAATAATAAAATACAGAATAGAGTAGAATAGAATAGAATAGAATAGAATAATAAAATACAGAATAGAGTAGAGTAGAGTAGAGTAGAATAGAATAGAATAGAATAGAATAGAATAGAATAATAAAATACAGAATAGAGTAGAGTAGAGTAGAGTAGAATAGAATAGAATAGAATAGAAATCTGGAAGGGACCTTGGAGGTCTTCTAGTCCAGCCCCCCGCTCAAGCAGGAGAATCTATACCATCTCAGACAGGTGACTGTCTAGCCTCTTCTTAAAAATCTCCAGTGATGGATCGCCCACGATTTCTGGAGGCAACTTCTGTTCCACTGGTTGATTGTCCTCACTGTCAGGAAGTTTCTCCTTAATTCCAGGTTGCTTCTCTCCTTGATCAGTTTCCAACCATTGTTTCTCGTCCTTCCCTCTGGTGCTTTGGAGAATAGTTTGACTTCCCTCTTCTTTGTGGCAGCCCCTCAGATACTTGAACACTGCTATCCTGTCTCCCCTGTTTCTTCTTTTCTTTAGACTAACCAAACCCAAGTCCCGCAGCTGTTCTTCGTATGTTTTGGTCTCTTTGCCTCTGATTCTTCCAAAAAATTAATTCTTTGAAACATGGAGTTAAATTATAGCCATTCAATGCTGAAATGCATTCTTCTTTTGCAGTACAATATACCATTTACGGACAGAATACCCACCCAAATTGATTTTCTCCCACTCAACTATTTGATGGCTATCATCACAGAGATGGAACGTCAAGGTAAGTCTGTTTCCTTCTGTTTTATTGTAGCTTAATTGAGTTTATCTTGGTTTAGATCAGGGGTAGGCAACCTTGGCTCTTTTATGACTCGTGGACTTCCAGAATTCCTGAGCCTGGCTCAGGAATTCTGGGAGTTGAAGTCCACGAGTCATAAAAGAGCCGAGGTTGCCTACCCCTGGTTTAGATGATAATCGTATTTAATGTCTATGTTATGCTTGTGAAATGTTTTAAAATATGTTCACGTTATACCAATTACATGCATAAGGTATCATGATTGATATTCTTGTCTTGGATGTGCAGATGGAAAGCAGTTGCATGTTTCCGACACGTCCAGAAACATTTTTTTTAATTAGTTTATAATCTAAACTACAAAAATACAAAAGTAAAACATTAGGAAAATAAGGGAGGGAAAAATGTATGACAAAAGGAAAAAAGTAAAAAGATGTGTTTGTCCAGCTGGGTTAAAAAGCAAAACAATTGCAAACTGAAATTAGAGTTTTAGTTTTACTGATGACACCGGCGATCGGCGTCCAGCTCATAGTATTATTTCTATATAATATTATTTCTCTGCATGATCCTTTCCTAGGATGGGCAGCTTCTATGGAAGACACCAACGTGAACGCAAGATTGGTTGAAGAGGTGACCCTGAAACACACTACAATGTTCTTAGACCTTTAATTGATTTCATTAGCAAGACAAAATTATGAATCTGGTAGCCTCGGAATGTTGCTGGGCCTCGTAACATCTGCGCAACATCTGCAATCCAGAGAAGACACGGGTATGAAGTTCTTAACATGATGCCCAAAAGAAATATCACAACTTTGGTTTATTGCTGACCAGAGTTTGTTATAACTTTTAAAAATGGCTCAGTGGTTCTGCAAACGGTTCTGAAGACAAAATATTTTAAATTCAGGTGATGCTGAACTTGGAAACGGGCTTTTTTTCTTTTCATTTTCAAACCAGTTGCCTCTCCTGGAAGTGGCCTGTTCCAAAGAGGAAGAAATCTTTTTCTGAATTAGAAACAGGGTATTTTGGAATTCAGAATAGCCCTAGCTTCAAATGTTGGGGTTTTGGTTTTTTTTTTTTTGCATCAATGTAAATAGGTGGACCGGAATATTCTGAAATAATTTTTTATAATCCGGTATCAAAACGGATGGGAGGTCGTCTCACTGTAACATTAGAAGAATAAAACTGAATCTGACTTCATCGTAGTATTTATTATTAATAGGATATTGTGCTGCTGAGCCCCCGAAGCAATTGAGGTTCTGAGTAAATGACAAAATTAGGATTAAATGGAGGAAATGTCGGAACGAAACACGCGGAGGTTAGCTTTTAAATTCTTACCCGCAAGATTGGATAATATAATGGACCGATAAAGGAGGTGGCAGCTATCGTATTATGTATATATGAGATACACCCACGAACAGGGTGCTGTAGAATATTGCAATTGAGAAACCAGAACTTGGATGTAAATGGAAATAAATGTATAGATTTGGAACTGGGCTTCTGATGTCTTTATTGCATCGATGTCGTAGACTTTGCGTGCATTTTCTAATCGTTTAAATGTACTGCAAGAACGGCTTTCTGCAGGCAGCAAAAAAAATCAAGATGGCATCCCAAACCACAGAAAAGGCTT